TGGTTTTGGACAGCGCCTCTATCAACATCGCTGCTAATCACTCGCGTGTTTCATGAAAGATTTGTCATCCGTATCCTCCGTATCTCTACACTGTGAATTATCCATGGGCAACCCCTCTCCTCTCTCTCTCTCTCTCTCTCTCTCTCTCTCTCTCTCTCTCTCTCTCTCTCTCTCTCTCTCTCTCTCTCTCTCTCTATATATATCCAGACACACACGGAAATCTCTTCTCAACTGTCGATTGAACTGTGTATGAGTAACGTCTAGTATGCTTGAATCTACCAAAGTCGATGTAGTGAAGCTTAGTAAAGCAGTTTGAATAGATTGCTTCGTTTTTTGGAATTGAATGCTTTTTCTTTTTCTTAATATAATAGCAATTACGCGCGCTGTCTTTACAGTAGTATGATTGTTTGCGATTTTCATCTCTTTTCATAGTCAGGTCCTTCATCAGCGGCTTCAGAACAGACGTTCCCTAAGGCAGAGGAAAACAGGCGCAACTTCGCCTGAAAACAGGATGCTCTTACTTCACTTCTCAGACCCACAAAGATGGAGACAACAGCAACTTCGTTGGGAAAAGCCATAAAACCTCCCCGTTTGGGGGGAAATACCAAAAAAATGGATACAAAAAAGGTTTCGTCGCGGGGGGGTTTTATGACTTTTCCCAACTTGGTTTTCCGCTCTGCTTTCTCTGGTTGTAACGCGCGTGGGGGATCACATCTTTTTTTTTTTTTTTTTTTTTTTTTTTTTTTTTTTTTTTTTTTTTTCACATCTTTACAGACCCTACCTGAAAGAGAAGAAGTAGAACTCGACACTCTGAGTCTCTGAGACACATGTCGAGCGCTGGCTGACGTGGCGTACAAGTGTAGAACACTGGCTGACGTGGCGGACTAGTGTGGGGAAAAGAAGGGACGCTGGCCGATGTCGCGGAGAAGTGGCGAACGCTTTGGAGCCGCCAATCCGTATTCGTTTCCAGTCGATGTAAGCCAAATCTCATACCTGCCCTCCTTCAGGAGATCCGTTGGATTTAAAGCCGTATCTTCTTTCTTTCTATCGTTCCAATTTTAACGGATATCCGAACTTGATTCCGAAGGCCATTTAAAATTCTCCTTTTTGACTATCGTCATTATCTACGGTTTACCGGGCACTTCTGTCGATGATATATATATACTGATTGCCTTGCGGTGCCTGAGCGGTGGTTTTGCCGGATCTCCATGTTTTCTATGTCACATCAATAGTAATGTCTCATTCATTTTTATCCACTCTTTTTTTTTGGATCGATGTCATGTGGAAATGGAATTTATTGCTGGTGTATACATTTGACCCCCTGTAGTTAATCATCAGTCGTGGAACGCGAAGGCCCACAAATCACCTCGCAATTCAAGGGAGAGCAAGACTTGGTGGATCCCGATCCCGAGGGCCGATGCAGTAGAAGCCCCTCGCGATTACACCTTTTCTTGCCCGCCTTCTCTCCCCCACTTTTTTACCATTTCTCTATCGAAGTTTTTTTGTCGTCTATTCCAAGTCATTCACTCTTGGTTCAGCAGATTGCTCCCTGAAGACGTCTTTATACTCCAACTTCCCCGACCCATCTCTAAACGTGTTCAAGGTCAGATACATCAAGCGCCAACCGTAATTGCTGCCAGATACATCCAGGAGCGTCCCATTGTGAGTATGATCGGGGATCTGAACCCGGCTTCTTCCCGCCTGCAGAGGTGTCCCCCTATTTCCTGTTTGTCTTTTATGCATCCCCTCACCCCTGGCTCTCCTCCATTTTTTGTAATCATTTCCCCATGTAAAATCGCTTGGGTTAAAAAAAAAATTTAAAAAAAATCGTTTGGGTTAAGTAGTAAAACCTCCCCGAGAAAAAAAAAAAAAAAAAAACCCGCTCCCCACGAGGAAACCTTTGTAATCATTTCCCTCCAAACGGGGAAAAAGGTGCCGGGGACCCCAAAATCACTTCCGGCTTCCTTTTTGCACCCTGCAAAACACTTTCCAGAGGGCGTAACCGGCCCAGCCAGGGTGCGAAAATGACACCAAAAGTGATTTTGGGACCTGTGGCACTCTTTTTCTTGTTTGGGGGGAAATGTTGTTTGGGGGGAAATTGATACAAAGGTTTCGGAGCGAGGAGGTTTTATGACTCTTCCACAAATCACTTTCTGCATCATTTTTGCACCCCGAAAAACTGCGGCTTTTACACAGCGACCGGTACCGGCCCAGCAAGGGTGGAAAAATCCGAAAAATGACCCCAATAGTGATTTTGGGACCTGCAAAAATGACCCCAAAACTGATTTTGGGACCTTGGGCACTTTTTTTCTTGTTTGGGGGGAAATGGATACAAAGGTTTCGGCGCGGGGAGGTTTTATGACTTTTCTCAAATCACTTTCTGCATCATTTTTGCATCCTGCAAAACACTTTCCCGCCATTTTTACCGGCCCAGCCAGGGTGCAAAAATGACCCCAAAAGTGATTTTGGGACCTGCAAAAATGACCCCAAAAGTGATTTTCGGACCTAAGGCACTTTTTTTCCGTAGCGGGGAGGTGTTATGACTTTTCCCATCATAATAATGATGAAATAAAGAGGGGAATGCATTCGTCTCGTAATGACGGGAGGAGCAGCTGGCTATGGATCTTGCTGCATTACATTACATTACTCAGCAAAATTCTGTGTAAATCAGCTGCCTTTGTCTCTTCCGCTAGAACGTGAAAATTACACTTGCCCTTCCCATTTTTTGCTTTGTCATTTTCACACTTGGCGGAGAGCTGAGGACCAAATCCCTGTGAAGAGGTAACGTAAAATTCGTTCATGAACTGAAGGACGTGGGAGTCGCCATCAAAACAGCACACGAAAAAAGCGAAAGTTATTTCTCTTCCGACATTTAAGGCGTGTTGCAGCGAGTTCGCTCTCTCCGTTGCTCCCTCTCTCTCTCTCCACACTGTTTACTATTTTTCGTATTTCTCCTGCCTTTTTTGTTTTCTCATTTTCACACTTCGCAGCGGGCTGAGGAGCAAATCCCTATGAGGGGGTACGGAAATAAGTTGACGAAATGAATAACTGGACGAATCATCAAAAGCTCCGGAAAAAGAAAAAAAAGAAAAGAAAAAAAAGAAAGAGAGAGAATTCATAATGAATGTAGTTGGAGAACCAGGCAGCCGTGTAAGCTTTTGTAAAGGCCTGTTTCAGAGGGAGCACTCTCTCCACAGCTCTTTCCATGTGAAAACCGTTTACTATTTTTAGTATTTCCTCCTGCCTTTGGTATTTCCCCTCGTTCTGGAAAGGAGGAAATACCGAAAAGGGAAAAATGTGAGTGGTGGAGAATGGCGGAAATTTAGAATGAGAAAATCAAAGGAAAAGTAGCGAATGCAAAGAAAGATAAGAAAGAGGCCGATGGAAGAGGGAGAATGCATCTTGCCACGTTCTTGCTCAACATACACTTGTCCTTTGGCTACGGTAGTCGTGGAACCAGGTAGTTAGCGACCGAGTCTAAGGATGCTCTAGGGTCGTCTTCACACCTCTAGCCCCAACGCTAAGGAAGGAAAAGCCCAAGGGCGGCGAATCTGTTGTCCTGGAGAAAAACAAAGTTAAAAAAAAAAATTGTTATCTTTAGTTCTCTTAACCAATTAAGATTTTTTAACTGAGGGTCATTCGGAGAAACCGTAAAAATTGGGAAAATTTATAAATCCCCCCTGAGACGACCTCCTTTGTATTCATTTGCCCCCACCGCTGTAGAAAACTTTCACGCCGTTTTTGCACAGTGGGCATTACTTGCCCAGCCAGGGTGCAAAAAAATGACACGAAAAGTGATTTTGGGGCCTGCTGGACTGTTCGGGGACTAATATTCACAAAGGTTTCGGTGCGGGGTGGTTTTATAACCTTTTTTCCCGTTAAAATTGGAGCGATACAGAAAGAGAGGACAAAAAAAAAAAAAAAAAAAAAAGCAAAGATTTTATGCATGGCAACTGCCCACGGAAATGATTTTATGATATAGTGCCAGGCCAGTTGTTGCATTTGGAGAGTGGCGCTACGAGATCGAAGGCGTTCACCTTTTCTTTTTTCTTTTTTTCTTTTTTTTTGGTTGTATTTTTGCTTGTTTGTGCAAAGGTGCTTAGCAAGGAATGATACGAAGGATTTCGAAGAAGTGGAGTACTCCATTTTGCTGGCTGGTGCAGTGTGCGCAGGGAAAATCGGTTTTCTCGTCTTTCCTGGAAGACAAAACGTTAATTTACCTGGTGCGGGATTCGAACGCAAGATCTGTTTGTTAGCAGTTAGATGTGTGTAGCATTCACATCTGATTATCAATGAAAGAGAGGATTGCTGCGTGTCGGCCGGATCCCATTCCCTCGCCAACCCTGTCGATATCCGAGTTGGCATTCCCGCCTTCTCACCCAAGATCAATGTAGACAACAGCCAAATCGTTTCTCTCTCTCTCTCTCTCTCTCTCTCTCTCTCTCTCTCTCTCTCTCTCTCTCTCTCTCTC